TTTGTGGCCCCACTGTTTTGGTGGTCACATGATGTGTTTTTGATTTGTCAAATCCTTAAACTTGCCAATCAGCCAACTGTTTTTGTTGGTAGCTTATCATCTACTTAGGTTGCCAATCCTTTTTCACCTTCAATACCAAGCGCTGTCCAACTCTTAAAAAGAAGAGTTAAATACACTTTATAACCTTAGTTAAAGTTTACAATGAATTTCACTTAGTCCCTTAATTTTTTAATTGTCAATTTGTACTCTTTAACTTTCAATATCAATTTAGTCCAAACGGCGACGACAGTCAATCATGTGTCATTTTCATGTGTTGAACATGATATTTTCTGTTGGAATATTTTATTTTTTTTGTCACAATACTTACAAGGAAAGAGAGTTAGTGAGGCTCGAATCTAACAACGGTAAATAAGATGAGAAAAATATTTACCATTGGGTCAATTCTCTTTTGCTCAATAAAAAGTGTTGGTTGGATTGGATTAAAATAAACTCATATTTAAAGTTAGACAATGAAATTTGATATAAGCATTTTTTGATCAAGCCCAATAGAGCTTCCAATACACAGATAAAAACCCTTCAATTATTATATACAGCAACTACTTCCTTGAATATCGAGGAGTCCGATCACCCCAGCCGATGGGATCTCTAACCCATTTCTTTGTTTTGCAGGCTATGAACAAATCCCAGCTCACATCCACATTCGTTTTCAACTGATAACCCCATGTTTTACATCAACAAAATCGATAATATAAGAAGTTTAGAGACAAAAGTGAGAATAAAAAAAAAAGATTGGTATTGTATCTCCAAATTTTAATACTTTTGTGAATTTTGAAAAAGAAATTATAATTTTTTGGGTCAAGTTACAACTTTTAAGTTTAATTGAGGATTCAGTGGTGGTCTAATGGCCAACCACCCCACCATTGGACCTAAGGGTTGTGGGTTCGAACTTCACCCCACCCCCTCTTCATGTGAACACAATTCCCAAAAAAAAAAAAAAATTAAGTTTGAATTACAATTTTTTTTCGCTAAGTTACAACTTTTGTGATCGATCCAAAAAGTATTGTGATTNGTTCGAACTTCACCCCACCCCCTCTTCATGTGAACACAATTCCCAAAAAAAAAAAAATTTAAGTTTGAATTACAATTTTTTTTCGCTAAGTTACAACTTTTGTGATCGATCCAAAAAGTATTGTGATCGATTTTAACATTTTTATAATTGATCTCAAGTTACCAAAAAATTTGTTAAAAAATACCCACAAATTTTCTAATGGCGGTGCGGTACCAAAATTTTTTTTCTAGTACAGTAGACTTCTTCATTGCAATTAATTTGGATAAAAATTTAAGTCTATCTTTATTTGTTATGAGTTCGGATAAAAGATTGAAACTTGTTACTGATGCAAGTTCTACTCTCTCTCACTCTATATATATAGTGATATATCTAATCTTAAAACATTTCTAATCGTACTCTCTGTTTTAGAGAGCTTTTTTTTTTTTTTGAAATAGAGAATATCTTGGATAAAATTTAAAAATAGAGTGACATATTTTTAACAATTCCTATGGGCTCTCTATTATAGTAAAAAATAGTCTTACAGTCAATTACATTTAATGAAGAATGTATATGTATCACTTTATTATTTAGTAAAAATAGAGTATAGAGTGAGTTGAGCTATCCAAATATAGAGAGTCAAATAAGACTCTCTATTTTAGTTAGTCTAAGTAGAAAGAAAATTAAAGCTTGATTTTTTGGTGGTTGACTCTCTAAAATAGAGAGTTCAGAGAGAATAGAGAGTCTCTTGGAGATACTCTTAAGGACTTCCATCAGGAGCACTAAACAACTTGTAAAGATCGAATTACCCACTAAAGGCACATAGATTTCCACCACACATTCATCTTTTCTATTTCAAATCTACCCTCTAGAAAGTGAAAACTTGATCATCGGATTAACATGTGAAGGTTGTTTTGCTCTTCAAAAGGTGATGTAGTGCAATTAATCTTCCTCTCATTTATCACAAACTTGAATGAGTGGAAAAAGTGAAAATCTAGACAATAATTAGAAGAAAGAAAGTCTTGTGGTTGGTAAAGTCACGTTTACATGATGCTTTTCTATTTGGAATTGAGAGTAAAAAAATGATAAATTTTAACCAAAAATGTAATAAGCACTGCAAGAATTAGAGTATTTTGAGATAAGTTTTTTTATCAGTTGTAGTGTTCGCCGTTAGCATATATTAGAGGAAAAGAAATTTTATTGTAGCGGTAATACTATCATAAAAGAATTATTTGTTGTCGTAAATACTATTTGATATTGGCTATTACCGTCACATAATTTTTTTGAGACTTGACTTATTAAGGCAAGGTGTTATAACATCATAGCTCGCTATAATAAGTAGAGTCTCAAAATGTCTTTGTAGCAGCAACGATTGTACAAATAATATTTACAGCAGGGAATAAACCTTTTATGACAATACTATTGCTCACAAAAATCTTTTTTTTTTCCTCCAAAACACCTTTTTTGTGATAGTAGATACTACTGCCGCAAAAAAAAATTTCACAAAAAACCCTAATTCTTATAGTGACGTGAACTCAAAAGATGCTAAGCAAACCTAAAAAGTAAATACACACCCAAAATTAATAAACTTTACCCAAAAACTGATAAGTGGTATCATACCGAATTATTTTTTTCTTCACGGTGGCCAAACCCTTCTTTTGTGGCCCGCTGTTTTGGTGGCCACATGATGTGTTTGTGATTTGTCAAATCTTCAAACTTACACCAACTGTTTTTGTTGGTGGTTATCATCTACTCAGNGTGGCCACATGATGTGTTTGTGATTTGTCAAATCTTCAAACTTACACCAACTGTTTTTGTTGGTGGTTATCATCTACTGTTAGCACTAATTCAACACCAATGGAGTCTGTTTCCTTTGTCCCTACATATGATTAGGTTTTTCTTATAGCCCTATTCAGCATTTGAGCCATGTTTTTCACATTCAATATCGAGAGCTGTCCAACTCTTAAAAAGAAGAGTTAAATACACTTTACAACCTTAAAGTTTACAATGAATTTCACTTAGTTCCTTAATTTTTTAATTGTCAATTTGTACTCTTAACTTTCAATATCAATTGAGTCCAAACAGCGGTCACATTTAATCATCCCATGTTACACGTGAAATTTATTTTTTGTTAGAATTTTTTGATAGAAATTATTATTTTTTCATCACAGTACATATACGGGAAAGGGAGTTGATGAGACTTGAATCTTACATGTGTAGATAAGAAAAGAAAGATATTTATCACGACGTCAATTCTCTTTTACTCAATAAAAGACATTGACCGAATTGGATTGAAATAAACTTATATTCAAAGTAAGACAACGAAATTTGAAGTGACATTTTTTGATCAAGCCCAATAGACCCTCTAATAGTCATAGAAGATTCAATTACTATATACAGTCATCGTACTACTGTCTTGAATACCGAGGAGTCCGATCNTAAGACAACGAAATTTGAAGTGACATTTTTTGATCAAGCCCAATAGACCCTCTAATACTCATAGAAGATTCAATTACTATATACAGTCATCGTACTACTGTCTTGAATACCGAGGAGTCCGATTACCCTAGCCGATGGGATCTCTAACGCATTTCCTTGTTTTGCAGGCTATGAACAAACCCCAGCTCACATCGATATTTGTTTTCAACTAACAACCCAATTTTTACATCTACAAAATCGATAATATAAGAAGTTTAGAGACAAAAGTGAGAACCCATATAAATTTGAAGGATACTTAGTATGGTTAACCTCCCAAAAGGGGCTAAAAACACAGTACACTCAATTGGGTAGTCCTTGAAAGACCAGTATTACTCGTAATCAAGAATAAGAGGCCTACCATGTAGAGCTACTTCCCACTGCGACAGTCCCACCACTATCAATAAGATNAATTTGAAGGATACTTAGTATGGTTAACCTCCCAAAAGGGGCTAAAAACACAGTACACTCAATTGGGTAGTCCTTGAAAGACCAGTATTACTCGTAATCAAGAATATGAGGCCTACCATGTAGAGCTACTTCCCACTGCCACAGTCCCACCACTATCAATAAGACATTTTTCTATGTCGGCAATATATTTGTCATGTGATCTTGAGATTGATTGAGAGTAGTCATTGATGTGTTTATATATAATTTTTTTACACTTGATAATAACATTGATGTGATNCAATGTCATCTTTTCTACATTAGATGGGCTTTCTCCAGTGTAGCTTCAGAGTCTCCAGGAATGCGCCTTCTCAAGCTTCTCATGAATAGCATGTAGTGGTTGATATCATTCCACTACTTTACCTGCTGGCACGTTTTTAAATGACAGGGAGAGATATGACTGATTATTGTTAACTTATATACAACATGTGGCTAGCTTGTTTAGATTTGTTATGATGAGATCTCATCCAAATCTACAGCAAATCTGGGGTGGCTGCAGTAACTTAGCATGACGAATATTAATTTATAAAAAGCATCTGAAAAGTTTAATAACTTTCCATCTACCTCCCTCATCTATCTCAACGAATAAAACTTGTACAGTTTCCTGCAAGATTTAAACCAATCTTCAATGGCTTCTTTTGAGATACAATACAGGGTATGCTATAGTAAGGACGTCAAGACTACATGGTTTACCCAATATTCTCCGGGAAAAATTGCTGCTTTAGTTGACCACGAAAGTAAGCATTAAAGATCTTTTCAGGAAATGCAGGTGAAATATCATACGGACAAAGTACTCGAGGCAAGCTTGGGAAAATTACAAGTACTTAAAAGCTTGAAAGGGCAAGTAGAATAATAGTTTATTTCCTAGAGAATCTATACACTTGTACTCTTGAAAAGACAGATACATTGAAATCTCAGCATACATACAACCCATCGAGTATTCACAAGCTGGAGAGAGATAATTAAAAACCTCTAACACATACTTGGGACTCTTAAGAGGTTAGTGGGCAAAGCTCACTTATTAGGCCTAATATCACCTCCACAGTGAGGGCATTGACTTTAGCTGTGAATGTAAAAGTATAGAAACAAGAAATAATTGTTCATGACCATATACTAGAAACCATACAAGACGAGAGTGATGCAAGACTGAGTGATGGGCTGTTCATACCTTATTGAACAGACCATGAGCATTAGCCAACCTCGGTAGCAACGGACCCATAATACGAAATGCTATTCTCAACACCGCAACTGATGTTACTGGCCTGAGATGCTTGATGATGAGATGTGTTCCTTCTAACCATTCCTGTGGAAGGTTACTGAAGAAAGAATGTAGCAGGGCCACAATATTACCTGGTGATACAACAATTGTGTGACTGGATCAGAATTCCAGAAAAACCTAATGCAAAAACAATAAGCAGGTGAACAGAATATTGGCACATAGCAATTATATTCTGGTGATCAGTCTGAAAAGTCTTTAAAGTATGACGACCACATACAGATAATCCCAACTGCAGGGCTATAAAACGATAGCATGTTCTCTTCCGTGATAATTCAGCTTCAATATTTTTTATAAGCTATCTTCCAAAATATGGGTCTCGCAGAAGCTTTGACTATGTTCCCAGGCAAAAAACAAACAAAAAAAGAAGAGTGTAGTGACTGCCACAAAAATAGAAATTCAAATAAGAAAAAAAGCAGGGAATTTTTGCCGGTANCTATGTTCCCAGGCAAAAAACAAACAAAAAAAGAAGAGTGTAGTGACTGCCACAAAATAGAAATTCAAAGAAGAAAAAAAGCAGGGAATTTTTGCCGGTGNCTGCAGTAACTTAGCATGACGAATATTAATTTATAAAAAGCATCTGAAAAGTTTAATAACTTTCCATCTACCTCCCTCATCTATCTCAACGAATAAAACTTGTACAGTTTCCTGCAAGATTTAAACCAATCTTCAATGGCTTCTTTTGAGATACAATACAGGGTATGCTATAGTAAGGACGTCAAGACTACATGGTTTACCCAATATTCTCCGGGAAAAATTGCTGCTTTAGTTGACCACGAAAGTAAGCATTAAAGATCTTTTCAGGAAATGCAGGTGAAATATCATACGGACAAAGTACTCGAGGCAAGCTTGGGAAAATTACAAGTACTTAAAAGCTTGAAAGGGCAAGTAGAATAATAGTTTATTTCCTAGAGAATCTATACACTTGTACTCTTGAAAAGACAGATACATTGAAATCTCAGCATACATACAACCCATCGAGTATTCACAAGCTGGAGAGAGATAATTAAAAACCTCTAACACATACTTGGGACTCTTAAGAGGTTAGTGGGCAAAGCTCACTTATTAGGCCTAATATCACCTCCACAGTGAGGGCAGTGACTTTAGCTGTGAATGTAAAAGTATAGAAACAAGAAATAATTGTTCATGACCATATACTAGAAACCATACAAGACGAGAGTGATGCAAGACTGAGTGATGGGCTGTTCATACCTTATTGAACAGACCATGAGCATTAGCCAACCTCGGTAGCAACGGACCCATAATACGAAATGCTATTCTCAACACCGCAACTGATGTTACTGGCCTGAGATGCTTGATGATGAGATGTGTTCCTTCTAACCATTCCTGTGGAAGGTTACTGAAGAAAGAATGTAGCAGGGCCACAATATTACCTGGTGATACAACAATTGTGTGACTGGATCAGAATTCCAGAAAAACCTAATGCAAAAACAATAAGCAGGTGAACAGAATATTGGCACATAGCAATTATATTCTGGTGATCAGTCTGAAAAGTCTTTAAAGTATGACGACCACATACAGATAATCCCAACTGCAGGGCTATAAAACGATAGCATGTTCTCTTCCGTGATAATTCAGCTTCAATATTTTTTATAAGCTATCTTCCAAAATATGGGTCTCGCAGAAGCTTTGACTATGTTCCCAGGCAAAAAACAAACAAAAAAAGAAGAGTGTAGTGACTGCCACAAAATAGAAATTCAAAGAAGAAAAAAAGCAGGGAATTTTTGCCGGTGCTAGAAAGGATTTATGCGGTAAAATTTGTTCAATCCACTATTGCAAGGAGCAAAACTTAAGAGGCCACACCATTACCATGTTAGAATTACAAGAGGTAAGCAGTTTCACCTTAGTATAAAATATGACATAGCTAGAAAGTAGAAATTGTCAAGGGAGAGAAACAAGGAAAAAAATAACAAAACAAAGAAAGAAATAAGGAAAAGGAAAAGAATAACAGTAACTAATTATCAGCCACAGATACATGGTAAAGTTTATCATCACATAACTGCTGCATACAATTGCATACCAATAGCTGTTGAGGTGTTGTCCTGGGCAGCCCAAGTTGGATCCAACAAAGCATACCCAACAGCAGAGTCTAGCTCTCCCAGTGACCTTTTCCCATCAGTAAGCCACCAACTCTCCTTTATTACACGTGACGCCTCTATATAGACTTGAACATGAAACTCTGGAGGAAGCTGAGCCAAAAGGAGGCCACAAGCTTGGATCAGCAAACAAGACAATTGCTGGCATGTATATCCACTTCGAGAAACAAAGTTAGAAGTGTTTATTCCTGAAACCGAAGGAGTTGATCTGCTTGCACCCAAGGAATCACTGCTTCCTCCTGAAGGAGAAGTTGGCAAAACAGAACCTTGCCCAACACTACTAGGAGCTCCATGTAGACCATTGCTAGATTGGATAAGCGTTGGTTGTATGTGAACAATTATTTGAACAAGCGATGATACAATTTGCGATGCAGACACAGGAAGAGAGAGTATTTCTATGACTGCTGTTTCAAGAATCAGCTGGGTATATGTGCCAGGATCTTGCATCTGATAGAATGCCTTCTGGCCTTCAGAAGCATTTGTTGGCCCAGACTGAGATGTTGCTTGATTTTTATTATGTGGAGCACGCACTGTATTATTTGAAGCATCTCCCAATGGTCCACTTTTTGAGTTATTATTCAGAGGAGGGATAACATTATTTACAAGACCCAACAAAAGAGTTGCAAAGTAATCTAATGGGGGAGTCACAGCAGCATTTGTTGAATTGATATGTTGAGGGAATGACTCAGAAAATGGAATCTGAAACAAAATGGGAGTTCCATTAATGAAGCTGCAGTAGAGACTAAAAGAAGAAATGAATGGAGGCAAGAAGTAACATCATTACCTTCTTAATATCAAGTACTTTAAGTATCGGAAGAATTAGCTTTCCTGGAAGATGACCATAGAAATATGCAAGTATATCACGAACAAATGTAAAATTTAGAGGATAGTAATGAAGAAACGTAGAATACAATAGCAGAACTCTTTCAGCTGCATCTATGGCATCGTTTTCAATAAGTCTATAGATTATTAGGGGGATGACTGGAAGCAAACGTGCCGCAATATCATCAAAGAACGTTGGATACCTGCAAAATGTGTAAAGACCAAAACTAGAGTTTATGACATCCCCGCCTCAAGTGGAACTGTATCATGACACCCAAACTGTAAGCTGAAAATTGCAAGTACTGTCAAAGAGGAGTGTGCGAAGGAAAATAAAAGAGAGATAATGTAAGCACAAATACATTCCATGCATTAAATGACAACAATGGTTGGACAGAATTTCTTAACTGATGTACATGAGGCACCAAATTAGACACTCAGTAGATGACACTCCAAAAATAACCAAGTCAATGATTAATTGAAAACAAGGGCCTTTTCGCATCCCTTATCCCATTTAGTGGTGATTCAGAGCAAAATAACATATCTGACGGCACCTGCAAGACCATAACATAAGTTTCATAGCTCCACTACAACACCAGAAAGTATGGTTATGTCTCTTTTTCAAACTGCCTCCGCACCTGGTGGTCAGACAACTGACAGCTCATGGGCTATATATTCTAATCCCACCAAAAGGAAGCAATGATACACTAATATGTGAAGATATATGGATGTGTTGCACATGACAATTATGTCTAACATTCGATTAATTTAACCATCAAGCCATGAAGATTATGTCAAACAAAAAATGAACATTAATGAAATCAAGGGGTAAGTAAAATTTATCACATTATGGTTTTGGCCAGTAACATATTATCACTTAATACTTCAAAAACCTACACATAACCCCCTTAACATTATGGGGATTAAACATTTCTCTCACTAGTGCTCATTTTAGATGGTCTAGGTGTTCGAATAACTGGATTACAACACAGATAAATAGGTTTCTATTTGCAGATGAGGGGGAAGATTTGTTTCCAAATTTGGTGCAAATGGATACATCTAGACTAGTGTCTAACCATTTTCTTATTGTTTTCGAGTCCAATCCTATGAAGTGGGGACATATGACATCTGTATTAGAGAACATTTGATTATCTCATCATTCTTTGTCAATTTGGGTAGGAAGTGGTGGACAAGTAGTGAGCCAGAAAGGTGGGAGAGTTTTAAATTTAGGAAAAAAATGAAAGGGACAAAAAGAAAATTTGAAAGTGTGGAATATAGAGGTTTTTAGAGATGGTAGGCCTGGGAAATCAGATATTTTGAAGAAAATTAAGGAATTAAGTAGTCTGAGAAATATGTTATCTTATAAACTGACCAACTTAGGAGGTGTTGGTTATAACAAAGGAGGAGACAAGTTGGAGGCAAAAGACTAGGGTTAACTGAGTTTAAGGAAAGTGATTGTAATATCAAGTTTTTTCACATAGAATCATAAATGGTAGGAGGAAGAAAACCATTTGGAGAATTAGAAACCAAGTCTGGTCAGATTATGAGGGATCCCTTGTTTATTGCAAGATATTCTTTGTAGGCCTACAATCGAAGGGGTTGATTGGTGTCGTACACTATGAGAAAGCAAGTTGGCTTTAGAGATCATTTGATGAGAAACCGATCATAAGAATGCTTTTACATGAACAAGGAAAAGATAATTTCTGTATGGCTTCTTGTCAAAACACCAAGCAGATTATTAAGAATGATCTTATGAATGTTTCATGACTTTTTTTTGGCAGTTGGGTGGGAAGAAGTTTCAAATCTACCTTTCTTACATTAGTCCGTCAGAAAAATTTTCAATTGAGGTTGAGGATTATAAACCTATCAATTAGGTGACTAGCTCGTATAGTTACCTCTAAAATGTAATCCTATCGACCCAATGAGGTTTTGGATGATGATTACTTTGAGTCANAGTGAGCCAGAAAGGTGGGAGAGTTTTAAATTTAGGAAAAAAATGAAAGGGACAAAAAGAAAATTTGAAAGTGTGGAATATAGAGGTTTTTAGAGATGGTAGGCCTGGGAAATCAGATATTTTGAAGAGAATTAAGGAATTAAGTAGTCTGAGAAATATGTTATCTTATAAACTGACCAACTTAGGAGGTGTTGGTTTTAACAAAGGAGGAGACAAGTTGGAGGCAAAAGACTAGGGTTAACTGAGTTTAAGGAAAGTGATTGTAATATCAAGTTTTTTCACATAGAATCATAAATGGTAGGAGGAAGAAAACCATTTGGAGAATTAGAAACCAAGTCTGGTCAGATTATGAGGGATCCCTTGTTTATTGCAAGATATTCTTTGTAGGCCTACAATCGAAGGGGTTGATTGGTGTCGTACACTATGAGAAAGCAAGTTGGCTTTAGAGATCATTTGATGAGAAACCGATCATAAGAATGCTTTTACATGAACAAGGAAAAGATAATTTCTGTATGGCTTCTTGTCAAAACACCAAGCAGATTATTAAGAATGATCTTATGAATGTTTCATGACTTTTTTTTGGCAGTTGGGTGGGAAGAAGTTTCAAATCTACCTTTCTTACATTAGTCCGTCAGAAAATTTTCAATTGAGGTTGAGGATTATAAACCTATCAATTAGGTGACTAGCTCGTATAGTTACCTCTAAAATGTAATCCTATCGACCCAATGAGGTTTTGGATGATGATTACTTTGAGTCATAGTGCATTTGTTCAAAGAACAAAGGATTGTAAATGTAGCTTTATGATAGGTGGTCGAAGATGGTAAAGAGAATATGGAAAAAAGGTACGTTTAGAGATTTTTTTTTTTTGTTTTCTTTTATTTTTTCAGGGTGATAGGTCTAGGACCAGATTGACAATTGCAAGACTTATACTGTAGCTCTAAGTTGGATTGTGACGTAAACATCATTCGGAAGAGCTATGGATGCAAGCCTTGAACTTGGAGACTTCCAGACAACAACAAAGAAGAAAGGAAATAATGTCTAGATCTAGAACATCACATTTACAGGTTAGGCTCACTATTCAAGACCAGCCAGACCAGTTCTTGAAGCTGGCAGGCCAACCCTGCTAATCTTGGTCGATCAGGGCCAGTTGACCAGGTTTGGCAGTTCAAAATCTAGCTGTTGAACAAGGCGTTACAACTTACATCCACCCCAATATAAATCCTCCTTCTTCCACAGAGGAGGATGGATGAACTGTGGGGTTCATCCTCTCACACACTACCCTGAATATTTAGGAGAGAGAAAGAAGGCAAATTACCAAATTGCCCCTTCACACCCACAAAGATTTTGGCATACACAGTAAAGACCACATCCATAGGCCAATTTATCATTGTAAGTTGTTTTAATTAACTTGTACTGTTATAGATACACACTTGAATGCCACACACACTAACTTACACTTATTTTAGGGACATGGCTCCAAGGGAGCTTGTAAGACCAATTGAAATTTGAGAATAAAAGAGCGAGACAAACATCGAGAATAAAAGAGCAAGAGAGAACCTGACTACTCGATAGACGATTTGGCTCGAGTCAGAGGAGATCGCGAAGTAGAAAGGTGGTTGCTTAGTGCTCCCTGCTTGTTGCGCAAGAAGAAGTAGAAGGGATCTTCAATTCTACTAGTTTCTTCTGTCTTTTATACATATTTTTCCTCCCCTTATCTTTTTCTTTGGCCTTTTCTATTTTGTTTCAGATTCTAAAAATCTCGCTGAAGATTCTAACCGTATTGGTCCGAGTCCAACATGACTCGTCTGATTCGTTTCAATACTAATCCGAGTCATGCCGATACCACCGATTCAAAGGAGACTTGTTATTTTTCCATAACATGTATCGTTACTAGATCGGGGGTGGCCGAGTCGGATACGACTCGACCAAGTCGTATCGCACTCGGCCGATACTTTGAACCTTGCTTTCCATTGACAGAAAAGAGATAACAAGGATAGAATTATGGTTACTGGAGATTTTGGGATCCAGAAAATCCTGTAACAAGGCAACCTTTGATTGCCCAATTGTCATGGCATATATGGAAAGGGAGAAATAAATGGATTTATCATGACATGCAACCCAAATGTCAATGTGTTATTCAGCAGGCTCTATGTGTGGTAGAAGAATACATGCTTCTGGAGGATGAACAATCTGTAAGCAAAGCAGGGGAAGATAAGGGGCTTGCCAAATGGGAACTGCCTCCACGAAATTGGATCAAAATCAATGCAATGGGGCCTTTAAAGAAAATCATAGGATAGGAGCTTATAGTGCCATTGTTAGAGAGCATACAAGAGTTATTCTAAGAGGAGAATCTAGAGCTATGCCTACCACCTCCCCACTGTTAGCAGAAGCCAGGGCTGTGAGATTGGCATGTAATATTACCATTACATAAGGATATCCCTTGGTCATGATAGAATTTCATTCTAAGACACTAATGGATACACTACAGAGGCGGGACCACAGTACATAAGAGAGATTGAAACAATTCAACAAGATATTTGAAAATAGCCCAGCTGATACGTGTAGTTAAGTTCAGAAATGCAATAGGGGAAGTAATGCCGCTGTGCACTCGTTAGCAGTTCAGACTCTAACAAGGAATTTTGCTTCTCGATGGAATGCCTATTTCCCAGAAAAGCTTCGAGAGATTTGCTCACAGTTAGCTAGATCAGGAATAGGGTAGTAGCAAAAGTTTTAGTTTTTTCTTTGTTTTAGATGTACGCTCATGACTTCTTTTATATTTGCTAATGAGAATTCAGATTTACGACCCAAAATAATAGGGTATGACATGCTTCTAAAAACACACCACAGAATCGGTGCCTGTCAGAATATATGAGAAATGATTTTGGAATAAAACAGAGCATCAGTGATGAAGTATTACCTCAAAGACAAACTTTTGCAAAACGAGTGTTTTCTCATGGACTTCACAGATCAGAATTAGGCCTTTGGTAAACCTATCCCTCACACATTTCGTGACCTATGCTTACACTTCAAAGTGAGTGAAATACGTAAATAATCAAAAATGCGCCAGGTTTGAATTATTGGGAAAAGTAAGAGGACCAAACTCTGAGCGAGACAAGAGAACATCAAAAAGACGTTAAATTTAGAGTGGTCATATTCACTCCCCACCCCTCTATATGACCTAACTCAATGCTGGTGAATGGAGAACCTAGAGATTGGGTTAATATCTCAAGGATTTTAAGGCAGAAAAACCCTAAATTTGATAAATTGATGTTTTAAGTAGAATACCTACTAGAGCGGAAGAGATGGGTTCAATAGCGGGGATGAAAGAGGGTGGTAAGGAAGTCAACACATCACACTTTCTGTTTGCACATGACACTATTTTCGTCTTCTTAAGCAAAATGATAGGTTTTCAAAATGTGCTTATATTGTTTAAAATTTTTGAAAAAAAACTAAGGTCTAAAAATAAATGTCTAAAAGTGGAGTTACATGTATTAATTTGGATGAGGAGATTGTGCAAAATTTTGCATCACAAGCAATTTGTGTGATTCATGCATCACCTATGACTTATTTATGTTTGTCATCCGCAAGTAATTGGAGGTCATTGTCTTTCTGGAATCCCATTCTTGAACGAGTGGACAAAAATTGGATGGTTGAGATGATCTATTTTTCACTAGGGGAACAATACTTTGACAAAAGCTTATCTAAGTAGGTTTCCTCTATTTACTTGTTTTTGTTTATAATCTTTATAGTTGTCGCCAGAAGGTTGGAGAACATGATGAGGTATTTCTTTTGGTCAAGTGTGGGCAATGATAGGAGATATCATTTAGTGAGCTAGAAGACAGTGTGTAAGCCTAGGGATGAAAGGGTTTGGGAGTTGGGACTTGGTAATTTTGTGTCTAAAAATGCTTCCCTTGTAGGTAAATGACTATAGAGAATCTTATGTGAACATCTTTCCCTTTGACACAAGATAATAAAGAATAAATATAGTCTCTAGAAGAATAATGGTTGGGATGCTAAATCAGGACATATGTTACTATGAAACACGTGTCCGATACTCTTTTACTGTGTCCATAATGATAAAATTTTAATTTTACACACGTGTCCGACACTTTTTTGGTGACGTTTCTGCCACTTCATTAGATCGTATCTACTACTAAATAATAAACATGTGATTAACAAAGCTTAAAAATGTGACTATTAAATATTATATACTATGAAAGAACATATAATTACCAAAACTAGACATGTTAAAGTTGTACTCAAAATATAATAACAAAAAAAACACATTAAAGATTTCGAAAAAAACAATTGAGAAAATGAGAGCAATCATTTAAATTATATATGTTTAATGCACGTCTACAAACAAATTGATGATTATTGACAATCATGATGTTAGTCTAAAAAATTACACTAGATGGCTAGATATAACATTTATTTATAATGAAGTACTAAATTTTCTTTTAATAATATCATTATCACTATATTTGTGATAAATTATATAATTTTATATATCAAACACAATTATCTATAACGTGTCTCCAAAGTGACCATGTCCTATTTTTTTTTAAAATATCGTGTCTATGTCGTATCGTATTCATGTTCATATTTGTGTCTATGCTTCTTAGGTTACCCATATTAGCCCTTGAAAATTCAAGTCACAAGTATATAATTCTTGTCTTTCTTTGATTCATTGTAAGGTTAGAGATTTCGGTTGCGTTTGGCTGACCCACACACCATTAGTGAACTAAGTTGCAATGGAGGAAAGAGGTGGGAGAATGAGAGCACGTGTGGAGGTGGAGTGGCTTCGGAAGCATTTAACTCTTTCTACAATTATTTGTGCATTATATAACAAATTGTAGATGTGTGCATCTATATTAATATACATTTTTGTATTCACGAGAGTTTGGGACAGTTGAGAACTCTATCTTCCACTAGAGACGAGAGCAGGAGACCTTCTATTCCTTGTTGCCTCCTCTTCCTTTTCATCTTCTTTATGTTTCCAAACATCCTCATACAAATCACGGCAAAGCTTGAGTTTTCAATAGTGTTACCTCTTATTCAGGTTGAACTTATTGAGGTTTAAGCAACCACTTGGTCTCTCTTTATTTGATTCATAGCTTTTTGAAGATTACGAATAGAAAAATTCCTTTGTCCCTCTATTAATTGTGTATATCTATGCTCTTACAACTCATTTGATAAAGTATAGTGGCTAAAAGCAAGAAACCATAAACGTGCGCATGTGCAAGAGAGAGAGAGAGAGAGAGAGAGAGAGAGAAATTAGGGTTCAAAGTCACGGTATCAACTATTGACTCGAAGAGCTCTGAAACACATTGGTCGAGGCGTCGCAAGACGGTATCAGACGATACGACCTAAAAAAAAATGTCAAACATCGAGAGATTCAGGTCATACGGCAGCATTACAAAACCGTAATTGGCCAATTCAGAGATAATAGCTTGGCAACTCAAAATTGAGTTGGATACAACTCAATCGACTCGTATTGATATCGGTCAACACTTTGAACCATGAGAGAAATTGTAGACACAAGCCACCTATTGCTTGCTTGAAGGACACGGAGGGAGTTATAAATGTATAAAAGTCCCAAAGTGAGAGTGTGATTGCTGTAGAGAAAATTGTCAATGTGTATCACCGACACAAAATGAGTAAATAATATATTTGCCATTTTCTAAACCTATTAATCAAAGAATCAACCCAAAACAATTTAAAGGGGGTACTTTAATCAATATAAAGAATTGGAGAAATGCTAACACGATGTAGCAATTGCTAGATCACGGTGATATTCATAAGCACATTATAAGCTGATTAGTTCTTTATTTCCCGTTTGTCACCGGTAGTAAGTCTTACTCTTTAAATTACAACACTATAGAAGTGCAAAACTTAGATATCAGCATACATGTCCTATTTTTAAGTTCTTTTAAGATAAGTTATGATCCTTGTAAAACTACCTTTCCTTCCAAGAGAGAGAGTTTCCAAGAGCTTTCTGCAGTTCAACACGCTTGAAAATTCCAGAGAAAAGCCAATGCTCAGGTGATCCACGATTCACGCAGTAAAATTTTACTCTCTGTTGAAGCTCTTGCCACTCGAGTAAATTAGTCTGCATTCAAATTCAAAAATAAATAAATAAATAAAATGTAGGTTAATCTGAAGATTTGATTACAATCTCATTTGAAATTAACGGCAACATAAATTCATCTACTCCTAAATTTGTGCATTAGATATTTAGATTACTACTATATCAACCTTTTGATCAACCATTTACAAGATCCATCATAGAATTTACTTTGAGTTGAAGTTTTCAATAAATTGAATAGAAGGGATTTCATAGAGCAAAGTAAGCTTCTCGCAACTCTCAAGAAGATAACCACAAAAGAAAAAATGTAATAATTATTCGCACCAAGAGAACATAATAAAATCCATAGACACCTAAGAATCAATATAAAATCAGAAAGGAGTAAAATGATATAAAAGAGGCAATGTAACACCCTTCAAAGAACGCTTGAGACCCCTTAAGCATCAGACTCGCACATGAAGCCAACAAACAACAAATAAACATGCATGTTGGGAAATTTAAATGGATAAGAGACTGGTTCACTAACCACCCAAGGTCCGGCTCTAATACCATATTAGAGCATCCAATCCAAAACCAATTGGCAATGATCGAAGAGGTTCTTTAAACATATGAACCAACCTTAAGTGGTCCTGATCATTCAATGTAGAATATACAAGTACTTTATAGATCTCCCCACTGAAGACCACTCCACAATTTCAAAAGGAACCAGGCTAATGCCATACCAGAGATAGACTCACAAAACATGAATTATATTACTAAAGGCCTTTGCTAGCTCTCTTAGAGTTAAACTGATTAGATATAGCGGCAATACACAGAGACATAAGCCACCCTCTTCCGTAATGGAAAATTGTGTCCCACCAACTAGAAAATCCTTCTTAATTCACTCTTATTTCAATCCATATAATTTCCTTAGGAACTTTTGATATTTACATTTTTTAAATTGGCAGGAACTTTTACAAAGGAGTGTAATTTTTTTTGATAAGATACGTCAATATTATTAATAATAGAAATAAAAAGTATTACAAGAACCAAATAAGATGTACAAGTCGTCCACCCCTAACGATTGTAAATAAAAAAACAAGAAAAATAATCAATAATAGTAACAATAGATTACAGCCCACACCATTCTGTCCAACTTCTTGTTATACTAAATAATGGTACATCTTTAAAATCATTGGTCACGGATGCCCAAAAAGAGGCTAAAAAAAAAAAAGTCAACTCCATAACCCATCAACTTCTTCTGCTTTATCTTCAAAAATTCTCGTAATTCTCTCCNATTTCCCGTTTGTCACCGGTAGTAAGTCTTACTCTTTAAATTACAACACTATAGAAGTGCAAAACTTAGATATCAGCATACATGTCCTATTTTTAAGTTCTTTTAAGATAAGTTATGATCCTTGTAAAACTACCTTTCCTTCCAAGAGAGAGAGTTTCCAAGAGCTTTCTGCAGTTCAACACGCTTGAAAATTCCAGAGAAAAGCCAATGCTCAGGTGATCCACGATTCACGCAGTAAAATTTTACTCTCTGTTGAAGCTCTTGCCACTCGAGTAAATTAGTCTGCATTCAAATTCAAAAATAAATAAATAAATAAAATGTAGGTTAATCTGAAGATTTGATTACAATCTCATTTGAAATTAACGGCAACATAAATTCATCTACTCCTAAATTTGTGCATTAGATATTTAGATTACTACTATATCAACCTTTTGATCAACCATTTACAAGATCCATCATAGAATTTACTTTGAGTTGAAGTTTTCAATAAATTGAATAGAAGGGATTTCATAGAGCAAAGTAAGCTTCTCGCAACTCTCAAGAAGATAACCACAAAAGAAAAAATGTAATAATTATTCGCACCAAGAGAACATAATAAAATCCATAGACACCTAAGAATCAATATAAAATCAGAAAGGAGTAAAATGATATAAAAGAGGCAATGTAACACCCTTCAAAGAACGCTTGAGACCCCTTAAGCATCAGACTCGCACATGAAGCCAACAAACAACAAATAAACATGCATGTTGGGAAATTTAAATGGATAAGAGACTGGTTCACTAACCACCCAAGGTCCGGCTCTAATACCATATTAGAGCATCCAATCCAAAACCAATTGGCAATGATCGAAGAGGTTCTTTAAACATATGAACCAACCTTAAGTGGTCCTGATCATTCAATGTAGAATATACAAGTACTTTATAGATCTCCCCACTGAAGACCACTCCACAATTTCAAAAGGAACCAGGCTAATGCCATACCAGAGATAGACTCACAAAACATGAATTATATTACTAAAGGCCTTTGCTAGCTCTCTTAGAGTTAAACTGATTAGATATAGCGGCAATACACAGAGACATAAGCCACCCTCTTCCGTAATGGAAAATTGTGTCCCACCAACTAGAAAATCCTTCTTAATTCACTCTTATTTCAATCCATATAATTTCCTTAGGAACTTTTGATATTTACATTTTTTAAATTGGCAGGAACTTTTACAAAGGAGTGTAATTTTTTTTGATAAGATACGTCAATATTATTAATAATAGAAATAAAAAGTATTACAAGAACCAAATAAGATGTACAAGTCGTCCACCCCTAACGATTGTAAATAAAAAAACAAGAAAAATAATCAATAATAGTAACAATAGATTACAGCCCACACCATTCTGTCCAACTTCTTGTTATACTAAATAATGGTACATCTTTAAAATCATTGGTCACGGATGCCCAAAAAGAGGCTAAAAAAAAAAAAGTCAACTCCATAACCCATCAACTTCTTCTGCTTTATCTTCAAAAATTCTCGTAATTCTCTCCATCCATAAAATCTAAATAGAAGGCACATTACATCACCAACAACCTTCTCTCTTCCTGTTCATTTCTTATTACCTTTCTTCCATCAATACCTCTGCTCAATGAAGTTGAAGGTCTTTGGTCTTCTATCATTGTTGATTTTCTCTCTGTCCATGATTCCAAGCTGACATATTTGATTCTTCACAAATAGAGTCAGGCTTGTGTATGTGCATTTTTTGGTCTTGTGTTTCTTCTGCGTAGCTAAATATTCATTTGTCCCTCTGTTGTGCCTCTTGAAGTTGTCCTCATGTTAGACCTTCGATTTGGATTGTGGCCTACAAGAATACGAGCACTTGTGGCCTTCTGAGTTGCAAATTGTTACATGCTCTATGCACATAGTGGATGAAAACCAAGCAAATCACCTACGGCATACTAAGGTGGGTTGGTACCTTTGAGCTTCCCAATTCAATTTTGGGGACTAGATGATTTGTTTCTTCTTCCTTGGTTTCAAAGACACTAGGATTTAGCTTATATGGAAATGGGTGATAGTAGTTGTTGGGTAAATATAATACAATGAGAGAATAGACAATTTTTTTCATGTTGTCATTTTGCTCCACCAATTCAAGATAGGTTTAATCTGTTCCAACTTCCAACTCTTTGGGCTTTAGATTCTCTCGACTTTCCAACTGTGGAGGATTTCCTTTCCTTGACATTATTATTGACTGGATGTTATTTCTTGACTCTTCTCTTTTCATCTTTACGTTTTCAAGGACCAGTTTATACCCTGTCGTCTTCTTGAAGATCATCTTTGCATGGTTAGGTAGGCCCAGTGATGATAAGTAAAAAGTATTATGTTTTGGAGGTCATTTCACATAGTTTCATTTTAAGGGAATCCTTCAGCTAAAACCAACGATCAAAACTTTGTTTCAGTGTATTATTTCGTTAGAAACATAATAAAAATAAATAAATTATTTAAAAATTATTTTTCTAAAATATTTGTTGAAATATACCAAAATATTTTAAAATATTTTAAAACATTCCGAAACAATTGTACAAATGTATTAAAATATTTCAAAACACTTCGAAACACATCAAAGTATTAGAATTTCAATTTCATCACTATTTCGTTTCGGTCTCCTTGAAAATGAAAACATTCTAAACGTTTCGAAACAAAATTTTAATCTTTTGTTGTAACAAAGGTTATTTATCAAATCAAAAGATTTCATTACCTTGGAAACCCTTTCAAGGAGATCAGGAACTTTGGTGGTTGGGTATTTAACTAATGCAAACAACTTATTCCATAATGAGAAATAAGACTTATCGTGTTCCTTCCTAATGCAAGAAGGTGCATGAACAATCAACTAATAAGCTCAACTAACCTCCCAATGAACAACCAATAGATTTCCAAAAGCATCTACTGCTACGTTTTCTGTTTTTAACAACTTTATCATAATTAACTTTTTCTTGGAAAATCCAGATAATAGTTTGTGGACACAAATTCTGGCCCGATACAAATTTTCATGTCTCTCAATTTGTCAATTAATGTTAATAGACCCACCACAATAATCAAATATCTTCTTGAATACCTCACGATGCTACAAGTGAAACGGAAAGCCTTCTACAACAATCCATCCCCCAAAGAAAGAAACTTTGCTTCTAACTAAATTTGAATCATCGTGCCACCTCTGTAACCTTACCTTAAAAGATTCATTGACATAAACCAATTTTTTTTTCCAAACTTCCTCCACCTTTCTCCAATAATTGCATTAAAAAAGGGATTTGTCAGTATGGAATGTTTACAATTTAAACTCCACTACCAAAAACCCCACCAATGCTTCTTTAATAGAACTCCAAGGATTATACAAGCTCTCTCTTATACATACCAATGCACACTTCCATCTCTCTTCTTCTTTTAGTATCATCTCATCCCCCTTAATTGCAGCCTTTTTCAATATAAATTCATTATCCACCTTTTCAGCCCTTCCCAACACATCCATTCATCCCTTGTTTTTTTTTCTCCAACAACAAAATAAGACTGCGGCCATTGGTAGCCTCATCTAACTGTTAGAGTAATTAGAATATTTAGTCTTAAGGGTAGTTTGNTTAAACATATGAACCAACCTTAAGTGGTCCTGATCATTCAATGTAGAATATACAAGTACTTTATAGATCTCCCCACTGAAGACCACTCCACAATTTCAAAAGGAATCAGGCTAATGCCATACCAGAGATAGACTCACAAAACATGAATTATATTACTAAAGGCCTTTGCTAGGTCTCTTAGAGTTAAACTGATTAGATATAGCGGCAATACACAGAGACATAAGCCACCCTCTTCCGTAATGGAAAATTGTGTCCCACCAACTAGAAAATCCTTCTTAATTCACTCTTATTTCAATCCATATAATTTCCTTAGGAACTTTTGATATTTACATTTTTTAAATTGGCAGGAACTTTTACAAAGGAGTGTAATTTTTTTTGATAAGATACGTCAATATTATTAATAATAGAAATAAAAAGTATTACAAGAACCAAATAAGATGTACAAGTCGTCCACCCCTAACGATTGTAAATAAAAAAACAAGAAAAATAATCAATAATAGTAACAATAGATTACAGCCCACACCATTCTGTCCAACTTCTTGTTATACTAAATAATGGTACATCTTTAAAATCATTGGTCACGGATGCCCAAAAAGAGGCTAAAAAAAAAAAGTCAACTCCATAACCCATCAACTTCTTCTGCTTTATCTTCAAAAATTCTCGTAATTCTCTCTATCCATAAAATCTAAATAGAAGGCACATTACATCACCAACAACCTTCTCTCTTCCTGTTCATTTCTTATTACCTTTCTTCCATCAATACCTCTGCTCAATGAAGTTGAAGGTCTTTGGTCTTCTATCATTGTTGATTTTCTCTCTGTCCATGATTCCAAGCTGACATATTTGATTCTTCACAAATAGAGTCAGGCTTGTGTATGTGCATTTTTTGGTCTTGTGTTTCTTCTGCGTAGCTAAATATTCATTTGTCCCTCTGTTGTGCCTCTTGAAGTTGTCCTCATGTTAGACCTTCGATTTGGATTGTGGCCTACAAGAATACGAGCACTTGTGGCCTTCTGAGTTGCAAATTGTTACATGCTCTATGCACATAGTGGATGAAAACCAAGCAAATCACCTACGGCATACTAAGGTGGGTTGGTACCTTTGAGCTTCCCAATTCAATTTTGGGGACTAGATGATTTGTTTCTTCTTCCTTGGTTTCAAAGACACTAGGATTTAGCTTATATGGAAATGGGTGATAGTAGTTGTTGGGTAAATATAATACAATGAGAGAATAGACAATTTTTTTCATGTTGTCATTTTGCTCCACCAATTCAAGATAGGTTTAATCTGTTCCAACTTCCAACTCTTTGGGCTTTAGATTCTCTCGACTTTCCTACTGTGGAGGATTTCCTTTCCTTGACATTATTATTGACTGGATGTTATTTCTTGACTCTTCTCTTTTCATCTTTAAGTTTTCAAGGACCAGTTTATACCCTGTCGTCTTCTTGAAGATCATCTTTGCGTGGTTAGGTAGGCCCAGTGATGATAAGTAAAAAGTATTATGTTTTGGAGGTCATTTCACATAGTTTCATTTTAAGGGAATCCTTCAGCTAAAACCAACGATCAAAACTTTGTTTCAGTGTATTATTTCGTTAGAAACATAATAAAAATAAATAAATTATTTAAAAATTATTTTTCTAAAATATTTGTTGAAATATACCAAAATATTTTAAAATATTTTAAAACATTCCGAAATAATTGTACAAATGTATTAAAATATTTCAAAACACTTCGAAACACATCAAAGTATTAGAATTTCAATTTCATCACTATTTCGTTTCGGTCTCCTTGAAAATGAAAACATTCTAAACGTTTCGAAACAAAATTTTAATCTTTTGTTGTAACAAAGGTTATTTATCAAATCAAAAGATTTCATTACCTTGGAAACCCTTTCAAGGAGATCAGGAACTTTGGTGGTTGGGTATTTAACTAATGCAAACAACTTATTCCATAATGAGAAATAAGACTTATCGTGTCCCTTCCTAATGCAAGAAGGTGCATGAACAATCAACTAATAAGCTCAACTAACCTCCCAATGAACAACCAATAGATTTCCAAAAGCATCTACTGCTACGTTTTCTGTTTTTAACAACTTTATCATAATTAACTTTTTCTTGGAAAATCCAGATAATAGTTTGTGGACATAAATTCTGGCCCGATACAAATTTTCATGTCTCTCAATTTGTCAATTAATGTTAATAGACCCACCACAATAATCAAATATCTTCTTGAATACCTCACGATGCTACAAGTGAAACGGAAAGCCTTCTACAACAATCCATCCCCCAAAGAAAGAAACTTTGCTTCTAACTAAATTTGAATCATCGTGCCACCTCTGTAACCTTACCTTAAAAGATTCATTGACATAAACCAATTTTTTTTTCCAAACTTCCTCCACCTTTCTCCAATAATTGCATTAAAAAAGGGATTTGTCAGTATGGAATGTTTACAATTTAAACTCCACTACCAAAAACCCCACCAATGCTTCTTTAATAGAACTCCAAGGATTATACAAGCTCTCTCTTATACATACCAATGCACACTTCCATCTCTCTTCTTCTTTTAGTATCATCTCATCCCCCTTAATTGCAGCCTTTTTCAATATAAATTCATTATCCACCTTTTCAGCCCTTCCCAACACATCCATTCATCCCTTGTTTTTTTTTCTCCAACAACAAAATAAGACTGCGGCCATTGGTAGCCTCATCTAACTGTTAGAGTAATTAGAATATTTAGTCTTAAGGGTAGTTTGGTCCTATTTGTTCTTTTATGTTGCCCTACTATATAAGGGCCTTTTGTATACATTTTTCTATTAAGTTGTAATACAATTATTCTCTCTTTTATCTCTTTTCTTAATTTGATGATATTTATCATGGTATCAGAGCCAATTACGATTCCTAAACACAACTAAATTATAGACGCAATTAGCAAAAAAAAANAAAACATTCTAAACGTTTCGAAACAAAATTTTAATCTTTTGTTGTAACAAAGGTTATTTATCAAATCAAAAGATTTCATTACCTTGGAAACCCTTTCAAGGAGATCAGGAA